GGGTTTACTATATACCTATATATATTCATCCATTCGGCTGCATATTCATTCATGTATGTATGCTAATATATATATATACATAGTATAGCTTAGCTCTACAGTGTCATCCCCATACATAGAGCTAACACTTGTTTTTGTTTTGTTTTTTTAATTTAGATATTTTGACGTTTGTTGAAATATATTTTTTAGAATGTATGAAAAAAGAAAATTTATTACATTCAAAAATATGTTATTCATTAGATATTTATGAATATTAATTAGAAAATTAATCAGATAGATAAATATATGTTATATTTTCGTTTTCGCTTTCGTTTTCGTGTAAACAAGAAAGTCTATTATCGGTTCGCTTAACAGTATGGATAAAATGTTTTAATTGTTTTGATATTATGAATGAAGATGCTGTGAAACTTTGTAGAAGATGCTATTAATGAAAAAGTACGTAGTCAATAATCATTTTATTTTTTGTATCCATATCTGTTATACAAAAGTCGATTGCATATGATCGTACGAAAAATTTATATAGAAAAAAACGTTGATAACTATTTTTCCAAGAGTTAAACACAATAAAAAGAAAATTTCGATTATCAACTATGAGCCGAATCTCCTCAAGATCCCTATCATCGACCATTGAACCAACCAATTGTGAATAGAAGAAAGAAATTCATTCTTCTTATTACATGAACTTTTAGCTCGTGTCGATAGGTCTTAAGTTAAAAGAAAAGGTTTATTCTTTGACAATAGTGTTCAAATAGGATATTATCTCTATGAGAAGAAAATAACTGGTCTTTTAAACAAGCTTCTATCTGTATACTAGAAACTTGAAAGGCAATACAAAAATGTCTATTCGAAGGTTTCTTAACTTTTCAGTCATTGTTATCATTTACCGATCTTTTCTATTTGTTTTTAATGAAATTTATATAGAAAAGTATATTGAAAAAACATGAATTTGATTTTAATTCTATTTTCTTTTTATCTACGGTATTAATGTAAAATATGTACCTTAAGTAGATGATACAGTTGGAACAATCATGTCATGTCATAGTCATATACATATTAAAAGTTCATCAACAGCTGTTGGTCTTATATTAGGTAGAGGAATAAATGCATGTTATATTGAAAACTTAGATAAAGTTGACACATGGGATGATGATTATAGTAAACTGAAACAAGTTGTTATTAATATGGAATCGAGTGCATTTGGTGAGAATGGTTGTATAAGTCATATACGAAGAAAATATGATGAAGAAATTGATTTTTCATCGATTAATCCTGGCAAGCAAATGTAAATTATTTAAAACCTTTTTTTTTCTTCTCGAATAGTTTTCTTTTGTTTTACAGTTTCGAAAAACAAAATGATTTCAAAAATTTATATGGGTGAAATAGTATAACTAATAAAACTCGACGTACTTCAACAAGAATTACTTTTTTTTACTCATCGTCATACATATGAAAATTACATAACTTCACTTTATATAATCGAAGTGGCTTTTATACAAAAAAATTTGTTTCAATGATTGAAATTGTTGCAGTTAATTTAAAAGTTTATTGAATTACAAACAATGAAAAATACATTATGTTTTAAGTATTTTTGAATTCTGCTTGATTTATTTTTTAGTTCTGATTGAATTCTTATATGTTGAACTGTTTTGTCTATTCACAATTTAAATGTTACTGATAATCATCGAATTCGATAGAAAAAAAATCGAAAATGTTTTTAATATATATTTTTCAATAAGGATAATACAGCAATCGTTCTCATTTACTTTCGTAGATTCATTTCATTATTTGTTTGACAATGTTTTCAAACAAATATGTTAATAAAAGCTCCATGATGGAATAATATGAAGAAGACATAGGTCTAAAACGTATGACCGTGATAATTCTCATTGGGAACCATATGTTATTAGTTGAAATGTAGTAGACATTTTTTTCTTATGAATCGATTATTTGACAACTAGTCTTTTTAGTTTTCTATGGGAAATAATGAGTATTCACGAAAAATTCTTTTGATTTTAATAACCATGTTTGTTCTTCTATAATCGAAACACTTCTATAATAAACTTTTTCTATACAATTTTTCTTCTTTATTTCAATACTTTCTCTTCATTAAAAAATATTAATAGACAAAATATTCAATTTATCAAAGTGCGAAATCACTAAGAATTTACGAACACTCGTATTATATGTTACGATTTTTTTTTCAAATAACGAAACTAACAACATTTTTCAGGCAGTCTTAATTAATTTTCTTTTTTGCAGATCATTTTCATATTTCGTATCATTTACCCAGGTCGAGGTTTACGGAGTCTATAAACGGTCGTGTACGATCCGTTTTTCTCCGTATACGATCGTATTTTGCCGTATTACATGGTCACGTATTACGATCGTATATCACCGTCACCGTATACGGAGCAATACGACGATATACGTAGAAATACGGAGCAAAACGGAGATTGTATACGAACCCCGTATAGGATCGTATTTTTCTCCGTATATCACCGTATTTCTCCGTATACGACACGGAGATATACGATCGTAATACGTGACCATGTAAATCGTCGTATTTCTCCGTATTACGGTCGTTTACGACCGTGCTTGTTTGACCTGGGTAACTTTATTTGATTCTGTTCATGGCAAACATTGAAGATAAAATTCGATATTTATTCAATCAATTTGTTCCACCGACAAATGGTAACATTTTCAATGATTTATTTTTCAGTTAATAGATTCAATGAGACAATATTCATGAGAAAAATAGATATAATGACAATCAAAATAAATTGAAAATTTTCAAAATATATCTAAAAGTTTTTCAAATCTAGTTATTTTAAAAATATCTGACAAGATTTAATAAACATATGAAATTTCAATGATGTTTTGTGAAAACGAGAATTGATTATCTATCCGTAGATTTTAGTTGCTGTTCTATCTCGAAAATTATGATATATATTGTTATTGTTAAAAAAGGTTTCTTTATAGTAGAATCCTGTAGGGTAATTCTATCTTAACTTACACGTGTGGAGTAGAATTGGGATGAGAAAAGTTAGAATAATGTAGGATAAGGGTAAGAAAATCTCTATAAGGTAGAACATAAAATAGGAAAAAAAATCTTATCCTATCAAATACAACTTTATGGCTATAATCATTAATTTGAATTATCTATTGAACAGGTCATAATGAATACATTTGTTGCCAGGGATGGCGTAGTGGTTCTATGCATCTGATTACAGTCAGAGATCAGAGGGTTCGATGCCTTCCCTCGGCATGGTGCATTCGGTGTCAAGATATGGTATCGGAAGAATAAACAAAAGAAAAGCAACGATGCACGCTACATCGTCATCATTGGCTCGAATTCGGTTTTCATTCTGTTCGTTTTCATTTCTTTGTATTCTTTCTCTGTTTGTTATCATTATCTTGTCCGTTGCATACATTCGTAAGCGTCCGCCAAAAATTGTAAAAAGTCTTCCAAAAAAAATTATGGATGTCACGAATAAAATCCAGCATATAATTTAAAAAAAAATACATTTGTCAATATTGTATGTGCTCAACAGGAACAAATAAAAACAATTGGCTTGATCATATGGAAACATTTCATAAAGATGAATTCGATAAGTTAGTCAAAGAGCTACATATTGAAAAATTACACTCGATCAAGCCCTACGAAATATTTACGTAGGTGAAGTTAGCTCCATATTCGAGTAAAACCTTCCCATATTCGTCCAGGAACGTGTTCCAGCCCGGTTCCAAGTAGAACTCAACGAGCTCTATCCAATGGTAACCTTCGCTTTTCCATAGGCCAAACCAATCGTGAGAAAAATGCAAGGGTGTGGGTGTGGGTCTGGTTCTAGGTGTCGTTTGCAATCACACCAATACCCTCTAGTTTTTGAAATCACATACATAGTGAAAAGGTACTAGTTTGAGACTTCCTGACCAACGGTTTCGATTACGATTGATGCGTGGTTACCATTAGATAGAGATTGTCGAGTTCTACTTGGAACTGGGTTGGAACACTTGGAACACGTACCTGGACGAATATGGGAAGGTTTTAGTGACGGTACACATAGTGGAAAGGTACTATTTTGGGATTTTCTCACCAATGGTTTGGATTACGGTTGATCCAAGGTCACCATTGGATAGAGCTCGTCGAGTTCTAGTTGGAACCGGGCTGGAATACTTGGAAAGCGTTCCTGGACGAATATGGGAAAGTTTTAGAAAGTAGGTTTGCCTTTTCCCATAGAAAGAGGGTAGTATTTTGCATTTTTCTCACGATTGGTTTGGGCTATGGAAAATCCAAGGTTACCATTGGATAGAGCTCGTCGAGTTCTACTTGGAACCGGGTTGGAACACTTGGAACACATTCCTGGACGAATATGGGAAGGTTTTACTCGAATATGGAGCTAACTTCTCCTACGTGAAATATTTCAAGTGATGAAGAGGTAATCCAACTTAAAGGTTTTTTTTGTGTAAGACGAATAATGAAAAATATGATTGTAGAGCGTTTGAAAAAAACAAAATAATAAGCTATTCGAATGAAATTCTTTCATGATGTATGTTGGTAATTTACATTATAGGTAGAGTCTAAATTGATAATATACAACAAAAATAAGCAAAGTTGACAAGATAAGAAGATACAAATCATGTAAGATCCGATAGTAATCTACTCTATTTGTTTGTTAAGATTTTCAAAATTTCATTTCGAAATTTTTGAACGATGCTTTTTTTCTCGATAAAATCTATTCGATGTTATGAATTGTTATCTGTTTAATTTAAATTGACAAGATTATTGGAATTTTATATAAGTTAGCAATGCTTCGAATGACTTGAAAAAAAAATATTATCATTTTTCATTTTTTATTGTATGTTATACAATGAAATATCTATTATAGAGAAAAGATAAATAAAAACGGGATCCGGACAGTTGCGCGCGGGCAGTTGGTCGCAGGACAGTTAGTCGCACGGACAGTTGGTCACTAGGACAGATGGTCGCGGTACACGTTTTCACAAGGATTATGAATAAAATAATCGCATAACATTCATACAAATTAATTTTGTATGGAAGAATAATCATCGTCATAAAGTAGTTGATTTAATTGTTTTAATATTGTTCAAATTGACAATTCTAATCTAATGATCATTTTTATTTAACGATATATATATAGATATACATATATATATATATATAAGCTGCTCAAAGTAAAAAAAAACATTTAACGAAGTAATAATGTCTGCCAGGAACAAAAACTTCTAAAAATACATCTTTTTTAATACACCGCGGTTACTCGTCTATACAATTGATCGGAGAAGTGCGACTGATTCTTTGAAAATGTCAATACTCTAGGAAATATAATTGCCATAAAAAATAATATTCATTAAGACATTATCCACGCCATAACAGGACGACAACCACCAATAGGAAAATATGAATCGTTCACTAAAAACCTTCATCAACTAGTATACAATTCACATCCAAATATTTATAATCAATTAACGTACACTGGATGTTTATTGCCTGTATAAAATTTGTATTTTCTTAATCTTATACACTACTCTAAGCTTTGCTAGGCTTATTAAGCTTCTCTTGTATCATCGTTCAAATATTTCCGTAGTGTTCTCTGTTCAATTATTGATAACAAAATTAATAATGTTCCGTTGTTTTTGCATTTCATAGTCCTCCTACTTTATACGATGCGACCAAATGTCCTAGTGACCAACTGTCCGTGCGGCCAACTGTCCTAGACCCATAAAAACGACAATGAACAGATAAGATCGTGATC